AGTGATCTCTCTCTCTCCTTATCTCGACCCACGAGCCTTCATCATATGTTTCTCCACCCTGTCCAGTTGAGGAGGGAGAGTGATAGAGTGAGCTTTGGTGGGCATCTGGCATCCAGCCAGGTTCAACCCAGCACAATTGGCTAATGTATTTTGTTGAACCCAAACGTTACAGTTTCCCTGCAGCTATGTTCTCACAGTGGGTATGTCTTCACTGCCAATATGGATGTCATCCAAGCTCATGCACTACCCTGCAGATCCAGCTGCAAGAAATTCAGTGTTTTTGCTGAAGTGTAAGTCAGGGTTTTGCACATTCCACTGGTGCAGTATCAGTAACACAAATGCTGACAATTAGTGATTCCATAAAAAGTAACACCTGAAATTGAAAAGTATCATTTCTATTGAGGAAGTATTTGAAGGAAATACACTCAAGTGTGCCTACTGCGCAGTCAGAGGTACGTTAGAAATATGGTTAGTTGTACTTGATCTTGATAGAGTGGCACAGACAAAAGCATCCCAGGTTTCTGGTATACTTGTCTGTTTTGCTCTTGTCCTTGCTAAGTATATTAAACTTCTGATCTTGCCTGTACTGTAATTTCATCTTTCACTACGTTGTTAACATATTTCTACAGTCCTGCTCTTGGAGATACTGGATTTAGTACTACTGGGCAAACTCCTCTAGGGTCCCTGTTGTATGTTTTGATGGTTCATATATTAACATCAACAAACCCCTATCTGTGTCCACATCACTTAATCGGTCCCTTTCTGGCACATACAGCAAAGAAAGTAAGCCAGAATTGAATGACCCAAGAAGACTGAACTACTTCCTCACATATGCACGCAGCTTTTTCATAACAGCAATGGAGACGGGGTGAAGAGAGCTGTGCCTGCCTAAGCTGTAATACTGTTTCCAGACAGAGCAGGCAGACTTCAATTTGTCTGATCAAAACACAACTTTTTTTTTGGGGGGGAGGGGGGGTGGGTGGGTGGAGAGGTGCAGCCAGAGACTCCGATTCTTGTTTTTAGTTTGCTCTTGTCTGTGAAGCAGCTGTAATATAGGTTTCTCTTGCGTGTTATATGCGTTAATAGGCTTTAGTTGAGTTGTAAAGCAATACTCTGAAAATTAAAACTGTGCTTTTACAATAGCTATCATTCCAGATTTTTTTTTTTTTGCATTATTCTTTATTTCTGTGCACAAAATTATTCTTAAGTTCTTTATTGTGTGTACTGTAAGTAGATCTTTCTGTTTGAAAGTTTTAATCATCACCCACTGACTTTGGTTACAATGGCAACAGAACAGTAAAAATTTACAGCGAAGATTTAACTAGAAAGTCTGTGGCTTGGAATGTCTTTATGAAGTTTTAGAAACAGAACTGTTAAATATCAGTTTTACTTCTTAGCTGCTCACCAAAAAATAGTAAATAGTTGAGACTGTTTTACCTTCTTGAAAAATCACTCAATTTTTCAGCATAAAATATCCAACTCCTTTTTCAGTTTTCTGTTTGGATGCTTAGTATTAGTTTAGTGATAGATTTTTAGTGAAGAAAAATTGTAAACTGTAACTCCCTCACCCTGTTACATTTTTTTAAAAGCTCTGGACACTGTAAATGTTCACATGTTCTACTGAAGGATTGCAAAAGTAACATTCATTTATAACATTTGAAAGATTATTCATGGAAAAATTATGCAAAGGAAAAAACAGTAAGATCCTTTGGGATATGTGTAAACTTTTCCAAATGTTCTTGCCACAGATCTCTGAACAGCACTCGGCTCACCCTGATGAAGTTGTCTCATGTTCCCTGAGGCAAACAAATTTTTAATAATTTTTAAATATTTCTATACATTATTTTTGTGCATGTCAGCATGGTCTTGAAAGTGATGCTGAGAAATAATGAAAACCAAACTAACTCTTGTTCATGCCAGCTGACTGGAAAATCGTACTAAGAGTGCTTTGTCTCCGTGAAAGGCAAAATAACAGAATAGCAATCATGGTAACAGTATGCACTAGGAGTGGAGCCAGGAGAGTAGAGAGTTAGCAGTAGCAGATGACTTCACTTATTGGAAAAAAGGGGCAAAATAACTCAATCTCAAATGAATTTGAATATTGGAATTTTGTTATCAGCAGTATCAGGCGTAGCTTCCTCAGCTAATTGCTCAGCAGTCTGGTATGTCCATAAACATCCCTTGGTCTGTGCAGTTTTCATCACTGTATCACCATTTACCCTCTTTGGCATCCTTCTTGGCACAGGCTTTCTTGTCTCTCACCCCTTTACAGAAATGAGGTCATCTCCCCTGTGCCCTATAACTCGCACTGACACCCTCTGCACCCTAGACTTCTTGCTGAACTGAGTGTACCCCGCAGCACAGGTCCTATCTAATGAGGACTCTGAACTTCACAGTTCTTCTTCATAGATGATTTGACAGGAGGGCAGATGCAAAGACTTTGTAAAGGTTTTTAAGCTCAGATTCTTTTACCCTTAGCACAGGGTTAACAGAGCCAAACTGTATATATTTCCTTCTCTTTGCCTTGGAGATGAGGATGGTGCAGAACTACATAGAAAATGGCCACTCCAGACAGAGTAGTACCAGCACAGCTGATATTTCTGTCTTCATCTTACCCCACAAAGCATTGTGTTTTCTGTCATGAGGTTCTTCACTAAAGACACCTAACTAGGAATTAGTCTAAGTCCATTACCTCCTTTCACAGAACTGATGAAAGCAATTGTAATTGCCATGTATAATAGTACAGAAGCCAGGCTTGAACTGCTGGCTGAAGTTGAAAGGCTCCTATACCTATTTCCACAAATTCTGTTACTCTTGACACATCTCATCCTAGCCAGGCAGTATTTTAACCTGAACTGAAATCTGATTCTATAATGTTATTTTCAATTTGAGATATGCAGTCCTTTTAGACACATTACATTGAGTTACTCCTGGGGAGATTCTGATTGGACACGAGGAAAATTTTTCACAGTGAGAACAATCAGCCACTGGAATAATCTCCCCAGGGAAGTGGTGGATTCCCCAACATTGGACACTCTTAAGATTCAGCTGGGCAGGGTGCTGGGCCATCTTGTCTAGACTGTGCTTTTTCCAGGAAAGGTTGGACCGGATGGTCCTTGAGGTGCCTTCCAACCTGGTATTCTACGATTCTGTGATTCACTGAGGATGATGATAGGCCATGTTGTTCTTCACTGTATTGCAGAGTTCACTGCCAGCCTTTTGCAAACGGCATCAAGGAACTGGAACAAGAACAGCTTGTCCATGTTTTCCGTGAGGCCTCATAAAATCTGTAAAATGAGAGGAAGAAAAATTACAGAGAGACATATCTAGAGCTCGTAGATGATTGAGAAGTAATGCATATGTCTGGCCATTAGATACATGAAAAGACCCTGCTTTCTCTTACATACTCAAGCTGTGAGTCAGTATGAGCAGATTGTTTACAGTTTATTCACAACATGGAGTTGTTTTTTACAAAATTAAAAACATGTGTGAGCTTCCCTGCTCACACCCGAAGTACAAACTGACTTTATGGCTCTGTGTATTACCCTTTGGCACATCCAGCTGCTGTAAGTGTGCCAAGACTTTTTGTAGGAGTTTATTGTTAAAAGTGTGTGCAAAGCTGTTTTAAAAATTACTTCCAGACAGTTCAAGAATATAAAGATGAATTCATAACAGAAATGGATGGTGTAACCCTAATGTGCAAGAAACAGTTCTTCAGAAATGGTGCCTTTTGGTTATCTGTAACAAATCATTTTAATCAATGGCTATACACAGCAGTCCAGGAAATTTCTGGGTTTTGCATCAATTCAATGTTAAATGATCTCTGTCTTTTAGGTCCATCTGACCTGTCAGCAGTTTTTTAGCAGGAGACCCACGTGTCCTGATGCCTCAGTAGCAGCAAGTCTACCTACACCTCCTGTACCAAGGCACAGGAAGAGTCACAGCCTGGGAAACAAGTGGGTGCTTCAGGCTGTCTCACACTCAGGCAATTTCATGCATCATAAAGGTTTAAGATAGCAGCAGAGCACTGCGGCACTCTAGTATTTATCCTTTTCATTTCTTGTGTTGCAAAAATGCTTCAGGTTTTACTGTGTATTCTGTAGGTTTTCCCTTTATTTTTGCTGACTCTGTTCTCTGCTAGTGCATTGGTGGTACTTGAAGCTGGGTATCCACTTTGGTCTGTGGATTCCTGGTGTGCATAATTTTTTTTTTTTTCCTTTTGTTTTTTAAACATCTTGCTAATATATCTAAGGAAACTTACTAGCTGCTTGGGATGGCTTATCGTTCAGGAAAGTTGTGAGTTTTTGCACTCTTTTACTTGGGTAATATGGATTAGAAACATTTTTCTCTACCATTTACCCAGCTAAGTGAGAGCACCTGCTTCTCAGTTAAGGTGTCAGCATCTACCCAATTTAACAATTAATGGATTAGGGAAGAAGTAGTTCAGGCGACTTGTCCAGGGTCATAGAGTGCTGATGGGTTAGTTCAGCTTAGTGAAGGACCACTAAGCAGTGATTTAGCTAGGGTCTGCTTTTTCTGGTTTTCTACCTTTGCCTCCACTCGGGGTGTTCGGGTTTTGTACGGAGAGGAGTCAAAAAACTTAAAACTTCCCATCTGCAGAAATTTAATCATTGTTACTTACAAGACCACTAAAATCTGAAACTTGTTTTGGCAATCAAGGAGCATATGTACAGCAGAGGAAAAGTGTGAGCAGTACCGTTTAATTGCTTGCTCCTTAATAACCTATTGATAAGGTAAAGTCTGAGTGGAAATACCAGGAGCCAAGGGTTACTGTTAGATGATGTAAGAGGGGTTTTGCCTTTTTCTCTTTCCAATTTTCCAGCATGATGTGTCAGTTCAGTGTAGTGGAAAGCAAAAGTGCCACCTTCCCGACGGAGAAGCCGCGCCACCTCCTGGATGACAGCGTCCTGGAGTCACACAGCCCAGCCCGCAGCCATGCGCTGGACTCGCTTTTCACCAATGGCCTTTCTATAGGTAGAGTCTGCGTGGGGAACTGATGTTCCTGCTTTTTTGTCCCAGTGCTCTGGAAACTCAGAGGGATACCCAAAAGTAGGGAACTAGGAAGATTGTTAGCTCCTTCGCAAACACTGGTCCCATTCATGAAAGAAAGTAGGTCAGAACTGCTACTCAGCTACCTAGTCAGCTTGCTCTCAGCTTTCCTCGGTTGCCTACTGATGGTTTTGGTAAAAGCAGCATGAAGGAAGATTTGTCAACTTTCACTAGGAAAAAAAAAAAAGAAGTGCTACTGAAAAGTGGATATATATTTTGCAAGCTACCTTGCAAAATATATTTCACAAAGAAAACTTTAATTATAATGATATATTTTAGAAGATGGGAGAATAGTTTAGCTGTGCTTGCTAAGACTTCAAAAGAAACCTAAAATGAAGTTGTGAAAGAGGATTATTACATTATGATATTATAATTAATGAAATAATTATTATAATAAAATCAGAGCTTTCTAGAATCTGTGTTCTAAGCCAGAGAAAGCCACCTTTTAAGTGACTCAGGCTATTTCTAGAGTAGGAAGTAGACTGTGAAGGATAGCAGGTTACTTTACCAAGAAGGGTTTGACACTGAGATGATACAGGCACAACTCACTGTGTTATACTGAGTATTAGAAGATCAGTCCTGGGTAAATTAAAATTGTGAGCTAAATAGCTGTGCCAGGGAAGGAGGGAAGAGCTGGTCATGGGCTTGGAGGAAAAATAGGGACTGTCATTGTGAATACCATCATATTGATTTGTTATGGCTCCTAGCAGCAGCATACATCTGGCATATCCTCTGTTACAGATATGCTTGCTTGTTGAAAAGAAACAATTACATCATGTCTAATAACTCTGATCAACTTACAGATGTTGTGGTAGAAATACAGTCTTACAAAGTAACTGGATTTTGTGTTCCTGAAGTGCTCAGCCTTTGAAGGAAAAGCAGCATGATGAAAATTAAAGTAACATGTAGATGTCTGGTATTTAAACACAGCAGTAACAGTGACTTTGTTCATCAGTGAGATACTATAAATGGGAAGGCTCATGTAAGCCTCTTCCAACTTTAGATTTCACCACAAACTCTAAAGAGTTCCAGTTTGAAACATGATTTGAGTAAGCAATTTCTATGGTACTATATAAAGATTATTCTGATGATCCACATACATTGGCTTTGTGTTTTCCCTTGGGTGGTTTTCTTACTCCTTCTCTGTACTACTCTTTTTCTAGATAGCAGTGAAAGCTCAGAATTTAGTGAGGAGCTGCCATCAGGGCTTGAAAGGTGAGTTAGTCTTCATGTACACTCACTGAGCACTCTACAGACTTAGCTAAGAAATTCACAAATGATCCCTAACATAGGTAAGCCATAAATCAATAGTTATTTTTATCAAATTATTGATTAGTTAGGAAAAAATGGCAAACTTTTTGAAATAAAGCACTATAAAGTTTATTGTGTTTTTATTCCCATGGATCTGAAAAGACTGGGAACTATCTCTGTCATATTTACCAGACCATAACTGTTGAAGTCTCAAACTACATCTTCCCTCATCAGATATTTGCATTCACAAACAGGGGTCGTTTGTATGCCACACTGGGGCCTAACTGGAGGGTACCAATCCGGAATTCTCCTAGGAGTCGAAGCTGTGTCTACAGGTACAGTTCAGGGTCTACTTTGCTCAGTGTATGGTGCTGAACTTTTATTTGTGTCTCTACACTTTCCTAACATAATGTATTTTGTGTCCAAAAGTGTCCTTGTTTGACCATGTGAACTCGGGGGAGTCTTCCCCTCCTGCTTGTAAGAGTTCCTCCTATAAGTGCTAAAGCGGGAGTCTGGCCCATTCAGGTGCAGTTCAGTTTAGTTATTGGTTTAACTAATTATATCTGGCTTCCATATTGAAGGAAGCTATTGTTTACTTTGGAGTTTGTGACATTACAGAAACAGGTTTGTCATGAAGGCCTTCTTTGCCTTCTGTAACAAATAATGATGTTACGAGGATATATTCTTGACCCTTTCTCACAGTTTGTTTCCTGATTTGAAGGACAGCTCCCCCATAACAAGAGGTGTTACCTTGGACCCTGAGTAAGAGAGGGAACATCTGCAATGCCATATGTAGCAGGCACTCCCAGTGTTGCTAGGCACTAAGACACGGACTTTTCAGAGACTGGTAATCCATGAAGAGAGGTGACATAGAAAATTGTACATAGTTAGAAGGACAAAAATCATTCACTGATGATTGTGATGACAAAAATCAATCATACCTAACCTGGACTTGATAAATTCTGTGGTAGTGGGAAGTGAAGAAGCATATATGAACAGTAAAGAAAATAGGGCCCTGAAACCATATTCTGCAAATACCGAGATTTAGTTGGAGTTTAAATCCAATCAGTTTTTGTTTTGTATAAATTATTTTGCTTCAGCCATTGTGGGAATGTTGATATAATGTATAAATGTAAGTGCAGCCGTTTTACTTGAACTAGTAACATCTGATGGCAGCACAAGTTAGCAGTTGTTAGACAGGAATAAAAATGCATACATTATTGTGGTGGTTTCACTTGGCTAGCACTGGCCTATCAGCCAAACACAGCCATTCGCTCACTTCCCACTCCCCCCAGGGAACAGGGGAGAGAACTGGTGGACAAGGGTAAGGAGGCTTGGAGTTTGGGATAAAAACAATTTAAGAATTGAAATGAAATAAAGCTTAAAATAATGATATTAAAATAGTAATGATAATAATAGTAATAAAGTATGCAAATGAGTGATACCCAGTGCCATTGCTCACCACCTGCCGACCAAGCCCAGCCTGTTCCCAGATCACGGTCCCGGAGAAGCGACAATCCCGAACCGAAACAGCAATCCCGGGAGAGCCAGAGCCCGAGCCAAAGCCAGAGAGAGCAAGAGAGGAAGAGCCCCTCATGAATACACTGAACATGACGTGATATGATATGGAACATCCTATTGGCATATACAAATGCCAGTTTAGCTTATTAATTTAAATATTCCTTGCTCCCCTCCTCCCCAGGTCTTGCACTTGTAGACTAACAAAACACAAAGTCCTTCACCTTCCAAGGACAAAATGAAAACGTTGTGTTGTCAGTGTTTTTCTCTTAACAAATCCCATGCTGAAACCAAAATACAGTGCTATTCTAGCTACTGCTTCATTCTTCCTTTTCTGGAATCTTTTACTGCTTCTGTCAGAAAACTAGAATTGGCAAGAATACACATTAGCCCGGAGAAGGCAATTCCGTTTAATCAAAGCAGATGCACCTGCCAGTTGAAAGTGCTGTCCTTGCATAGGTGGTGTTGCTGTGTGTATCACTTCCACCGGTGTGTGTTTATGTGACTCAGTCATACTTGTTCATAGCCAGAATAGACTTCCTCTCACAACGGAATGGTAGATCACACACATATCCTTTTCCTTGATTTCATTATTAGATGTGATTTAGTTGGCTCTGGTGAAGTTCATTGGCCCTTATATTTATAAGAATATCAGGGCTGTGATCACATGGCAGTGAAGAGAGGTTATCAGCAGATAATTCTAATAGATTGTCACCTGCCAGTCAGGCTTTGGTTGTTACGAGCTTAATGGATGTTTACATTTCTAACTTGGCCTGTACTGGGGTTCTTTCAGTTGTAGCAGTTTTTCACTCTCGTATGTGGGAAGCTACATGTTTGTCGTGGGAGAGGAAAAAGTATTTTAATCACTGTACAATAAATTGGCATTGTTAGATAGTTTTCCCAACTTTTTTCTAATTAGCCAAGGTAATTTCCTACATTCTTTGATAAAATTACATTTGTGGGAGCTCTTATTGCCAAAATTTTAAGCCATAAATAATTTCTGTAATTTACCAGAATAAAATTGAAAATCGTCTGTTTTCCCTTTGACTTTGGGCCTCAGTATTTGTTCTGTTTTGTTTTATTTTTTCATGTCTAAGCCCCCAGAATAGAACCTTTTGTTGATTTGCTGTTTTTCAAAGATCCTGATTCCTGTTTGATACCTAGATCTAGAAAATACCTATTATAGAGTCACGTGTCAGATGATAACAATATATGTAAGGCAATGCAGGAAAAATATATTTAGAGCTAAATTACAGTGCTTGCTTCTTGACCTTATTTGTCTGCTTAAATACATATGGCAATGTTTTGTCTCTCCAGCCCAACAGGGGCCTGCAGCTGTACATTGGGTAGTTCCACAGGAGTCATTACCATGGAAGGGCCACTAAGAAGAAAAACATTGCTCAAAGAAGGCAAGAAACCTACTGTAAGTGATTCTAAGTCTTCCTGTGATTCTGATTCACTAGTGGCTGTTTTAATTTCCAGGTTTAGAGAAAACCTGCAGCTTGATACCACACAAAACAATGTTTCTTGTTATTAATTCTGAAATAATTTTCTGTTCAAAGTTTTAACTGGGTTATAACAAGGTTGTAACCTTTGATCTACAGCAGTTTTACTTATCCCTGCACCTGTGAGGGCTGAAGTTTAGTATCGTGGTGAAATAGGAAGGCTGCAGGGCATCCACCCATAGCACCAAAGTAATTCATACTTAGCCTAAATTAACAGGTTTCATGTGGTTCTGGTCCTACATACACATTTGGTAATTTTTTGTTTCCTGTAGAACTCATTGACGCTTTTTATGTGCAACCCTGCTGTTCAATGCTAAAAGATTTGAAGAATTGCAGAGATGTAATCTCAATAAATTTTATTGATCAAATGCAGAAGTCTAAGATCTGTCCAGTAGAAGGCGGCGCACTATTTTGCTGTGAAGCAGTCAGGCCTGGTATTTTTATGAGATACCCAAGTAAGATGGATTGTATTCACAGCCAGCCATCCAAATTTAGGTAGCTGGGCTGATTTACATCAGGAGACAGTCTTTATCTAACTCTCCATTCTTTGCTTCTGAATTGAACTGTGGTAGCACTTGGACTTGCTTGTGAATAGATTTTTGAAATGTTGGAGATATGCAGAGTTTTCCCTAATTTTTTTCCTTTCTGATTCAGCTCTCCTCATGGACTAGATACTGGGTTATGCTTTCAGGATCAACTCTTCTGTACTTTGGAGCAAAATCTTTAAGAGGCACTGAAAGAAAACATGTAAGCTTTAAATTTGTTCTGAAAACAAAAACTATGTGTTCTTAAGCAGATCTGGAAGGGTGTTTGAAGTGTACATGCTGTTCCAGGCTAAGCCATATGTCTGCACAACTTTTACAGTCAAAAGTTAATCCCTACGACAGTCTCAGCTGTGACTGACGTCTCTATCTCTTCCAGTATAAATCTACACCTGGTAAAAAAGTCTCCATTGTGGGCTGGATGGTGGCACTGCCTGATGACCCTGAGCATCCTGATATTTTCCAGCTAAATAACCCTGACAAAGGTAGATATTGCAGGAGGGACATTGTCTGCATTATATTTCTGTGACAGGAAGTAGATGAGTTTTTGTTAATGAGTTTGTACAGAACTTGAAGTGGCACTCATTTAAAAGACTGAAGAGGGAGATTTTCAATACAGAATTTTCAACTGAGGGTACAAATGAAGTTGAACATATCTCTACAATATGCTGTGGTGCTTCTCTGGTGCCTACAGAGGTACTGCTGTATCTTGACAGTTACTTGAAGTTTTGCAGAAATTGCCCCGCCAATATGAGATTGCTGCCTGTCCATGTGCCCGCACACCCTGATTTCCAAGTTTCTAAATAGCTTAAAATTGGTCAGTATCTAATCTTGACATAAACTGAGGCTAATTAAAATATTATTAAAATCTTTGAAACATCGAAGTATTTTTAAGAAAACTCCCTTTAAGTAATTATTATTTACTTTTTAATAATTAATTTTGAAGTGCCATATCTCTTCCACCTTGATTAAACTTCAAAAACTTCAAAATACTAGAAAGCCCACAGAGTTATTTTGCACTTTGAGTGGTTATATAAAGATTTTTGAGGTTTCCTTCACTTTTTACGTTTTCAACTTCAGTGCTGGATGCGAATTAGCATCTACTGTGCAAAGTGCATCTCCTGGGTGTTGACTAAAATGCACAAAAGTATTTGATTGCAAGAAACAGTTTACAAAACAACGAGGCATAGGGGAAACTTGCAGTAGGATATTGTAGAAAACTAATTTCACAAATATCAAAAACATTCACACAAGACTCCTAATGAGAAGAAAGCTAGGAGTAAATTAGATGTGACCTAAGTGATCTTTTCTGTGGCTGTAGTTAGCCTCTCTGCCTATACACTCCGCTTAGCTTTGCAGGCCACATATGTTCTCATACTCCCCTCACCCAAGGATTGTTGGATAATATGCCTCACATGGTTTCTATTATATGAGCCACATCTTCGAGCATTTGAGGTGCAAATTAATTTAACAGTTTATTTCAGACCTTTGGCATCTGCCAAAGAAATGAGAATCCCTTGAAACTACATGTCTGTCTGCAAGTTCAGAGCCATTGATTTTCTTATTTTTGTAGGTAATGCTTACAAGTTCCAGACTGGTTCAAGGTTTCATGCAATATTATGGCATAAGCATTTGGATGATGCATGCAAAAGCAACAAGCCTCAGGTAAGGCTGTGAAACTACCCACTTCTTCATATTTTCCAGAAAATCCTTACTAGAAGAGATACCTCTTTTCAGTCTGTGTGCACACACAGTCCTGTGGGGATAGACCTAACTCCTCATTTTGTACATTGATCCAGTTTTTCAATAGGAGGAATAAAAATTATTCAAAACTACAGAATTTCCACCAAATCAGGATTTGTGCAGGTCTAGCTATAGTTTGGTTACCTTTACAGCATATAATCTCTACACTTACTGCTTCAAGTGAGGTAACCCCATCTCTACTTCAGAAGGGGCTTTCTCATGGACAGAGGAAGCAAACATGCTAGCATTTAGTCCAGTGACTGGGTCTGTTAGTGCCATTGAAAAGTGTGGCCTATAAAATGCCATGTTTGTCCTTTATATAGCAGCCTCATTCTTCTTGACGAAAATGTTCGTTCTTAAAAGGATTTCTGAAGGTTATATTAATAGGAGGCTGATCCATATAGGGCCTAAAACAGGATGCAGCTTGAGCATCTTTTAAACACATACATACTACCCCGTGCATACTGATGACTACTTAGAATACTTTGGCTGGATGTGGTCTGTTAGTAGAAAAATCTTTATCTTTCCGGTCAGTTATGGGGCTAGCCCTCTTTTGGGACAGTTTGTGACGCTTTTCACATTGGATAATAAATTATTAGCCCACTCTATTTTGTAACCTTGCAGTTTCCCAATGCCATGACAGGTTCAAGAGCATTGTACAGCTGAATAATTTATGTTCTCTGGTTCCAGGTACCTGCTAATCTAATGTCGTTTGAATAGTTTACTCTCCTACCTGGTGTGACTTCAAGTGCCAAACTGAAGAAATAGGCTATTGTTGTCTAAGGAGGAAGAGGAAAATGGTTTTCGTGGCATGAGCCAGCCACAAATATTTCAGCACTTTCCTATGTAACTTGAAAGTGATTCTGACACAGCTTTGAAAAGCAGAAAGTGAATGTTGTCCTTAGGACCAGGTACAGTCTTATGCACTGAGTGAAAGCAGACAAGTTAGATGGACAGAAGATTAATCCTGACTCCTGCAGGATTCTAGAGCCCTCAACTTTTTGTGGTCAGAGACTGCCATGAACTGATGTTTGACCACAAACTGAGCATCGTATCTTCTGCCTTTTCTTTTTTAAATGGTTCTTTTTATTGTTAAGCTGCTTTGTGTGACTGAAGAATATTTAGCCCATGTTGGGTTTCAATTCTTTCTAATGCACAGAATGACTGACAGTGTTAACTTGCTGCAAAGTGTCAATTAGAATAGAAAATTGTGGAACAACATTTTTATAATCTTAAGTGCACTGACTTGCTTGGCAATGTGGCTGCCTCAGATTTTATATCAAATCTGGACAATTCTGCTGTTCACATTTGAGCTATTTGGGAAAAATGCATTTTGGCACAGGACAGTTGGTTTTCTTTTTTCATTCAGTTTTGTTACTCAGGAATACCCTGACAATAGATTTAAGGCTGTTGAAATTTATGTTGTGCTAAAGGTCGTCTTTCATTCTCTTACTAGTGGTGTAGCTGCTTACAAGTTTGTTTATTACTTCAGTCTGAATGTTGTTCATCTGAAATCCCTGGTACAGGGAAGCAGGTAATCAGGTGTTATGTGTCACGTGGCTCCTCAGAATGACTCCGTCTCATTGTTTCTGTTCTGTCTTTCTGTGGATGACTGGGCTCCACTCAACGCCAGTACATGAGGCACCTTTATGAGATACAGGACTGGCACATGGTACTGCTATTATGAGATTGTGATGGCAATAAAAGCTAGGCAAGACTGTCTGACAGTGGAGCAAGTACAAAGAAGTCTCCACACCAGTGTCCAGAGAACAACAACAAAATTAATGTAACTGAGCCTTCTCCTCTGAAAGAACTCTCTCTGCATCCATAGCTGTATCCTAGCACTCCTGTGATCAGAGTTTTTTTCTGCTCCGATACAAAAAGTTCAGCACCTTTTCTGTTTGAAACTTTTGCCATAGGGCATCAGTATTCAGACTTCATCAATCACTGGAAAACCTCTTCTGAGTTCCTAAGATTGCATAGAGGAGAAATTTGCAAGCTGACCTTTATCCTACAAACCATGAAAGAAATTGAAGTCTGTTTAATGAACAGAGCTCCCTGGCATTAGGGGTATTTATGCTGTGGACTTGCATGATTTTCTAAATTTTTATTTTTAAACTTCTCTAATAGCAACAACGACAATAAAATACCTGTATTGTTAAACGCAGGTCAACTGTAACTTTTGTGTTAAGTGATCACGTTACAATCCTGAGAATGAAGCTTAATACATACCAGCATTTCAAGAAAACCAGTTCCTGACAACAACTGCATTTAGATCCCAGGACATGTGAAAGTGTATGTAAAGTTGACAGAGTTTCTTTGATAGCTCGGGAGTTGTGTGAAAAGAGTGGTAATGCAAAACATATTTATACCTTTTTTTTCTCCTTTTTTGATAAATTAAGACAACTTTGAACTAGGAAAAACATCAGTATTTGTGAGGGCAGAGCATCCACTGCCATAGAGACGGTGTAGAAGCTTTTGAATGTGGTAAAATCCTGTCACCACTAAATGACTTCAGACTGTTAGAATACGATGTAATCTGAATTCTGAACCTGTGGACTTCTCTGATTAGTTATCAGTGAGATTATTCATGAAGATACAAGTGTTACATGGACTGCCCCTTTAATGAATGTGCCACCTATGACACATATTGTGTGTTACTAGCATTTATAGGGTTTGAAACATGCGCAGAACAGTGACCAAAATGATGACACACTAACCAAAACAGAACTGTTCAAGTCAAGAGGTTTTTTTAAAGTTACTTTATTAGTAGCCCTCTTAAAAGGAAATAACCTGATCTGTCCTAAATATAAGCTAAATTTAAAACAGAACACTTATTGGCATGCAATATACGTACATTAGAAGCGTGTAAATCCCTACTACTATGTAATGTGATGCAGTGGAAGTGAACACCAGTGAGGACTTGTGGTAATTTTTCCAGCATATTGCAGTTGAGATAAACTAATGGATGTTGTGACAACTTTCAATTATGTTTAACAAGCCTCCCTTGGAAAGAACAGTAACTGCTGACTGATACAGTAGCAATAGAATGAGCCTGCACACACTCAGAATTTAATGGCTTTTAGAATGCAAGGGTCTCTAAAGCGTTATGTATGTTATTGTATGTACAAGAGGTAGAGTGTTCTAGCCTTCAAAAATAGGCTTTTACGCAAAATTATGAGCCAGAGAGCCTGTTGGAGAAGTTACAAAAGGGTCCGTTTTCTCGTTTGTAAAACAGATTATTCCCAAGTAGAAAGGAAGTATCTTTGCCAGAAACCATGATGTGCCCCAAAACAGTGTGGCATGAATGAAAGGCAATATTTATGAATTATTCTTATAATTATTCTTGTTCATTACACTTATGAATCTGTGGAGAAATTAAACCCCTCAATCCTACTCAATCCTCAAACTCAAATCCTCCTCAAAACCTTGGAATTTGGAAATACATTAAAAGTAACTTGAATTTCCTCACGCTACTATAATTTGAATGTAAAAAGCATTATGTAGAAGAAGGATGAATATAGCTAATACTGGTTTTACACAATAGTCAGGTAGACACCTCTTCAGTATAGCACAAGTGTGAAATTGCTGCACAATATAAAAAAAAGCAGAATAATGGTAGTGTAAGAATTTATTAAAATATCTTAAACCAATTTTAAATGACTTTTTAAGCATTAAATAATTCTTAGCTGCTGATTTGAGTTTTTATCCTGTCATTTGGTACTTCTAATGTGAATTGAAAGCTGATACTGAAATACAATGTGTTGCATATCAGTACTGGTTAATACAGTATTTTCATAAAAATATTACAAACCATGCAAATTTTCATCCATCAAAGAGAATAACTGCACTAGCTGCGTAAAAATAAACATTATCTCAGATTTACTATTTTCAGAATTGTGAAGTTATAAAATGTATGTAGGCAATATTACTAATTTATTATTGTGCAATTTTGATGTAATTCAGTGCCAAAATGCATGTTTTTCCAAATAGCATTAAAATGAGGCAAAGAAAGTAGTTTTCAAATTGCGACTTATTTGTCACATTATAATGTAAACCAGTTTCAACATTTTGGTTTGTTTTGTGTGAAAACTCTTGCACTCTTTTTGGCTGTATTTTCCAGCAGTCCACTGCATGCCATTTGTGTAAGGATTCTTTCTACAATTCTTGTGAAATGTCTCACCCATCATAACCCTGGTGTTGGAATCTAGGTTTTTGGCAAAGTATTTTGTTACCTCAGTCTTGTATCAAGGTTGCTGTATTTTTCAGTTTGTTACATTGATAATGATTGTTTCACTAATTAAATACTTTAATGTAAAAAAAAGTTTGTTTACTTCAACAGCAGATGCATTTGGTTGTGAGTTTAAAAATGTGTAGATTATGTATGCTGTTAACAATAAAAATTCTGAAAAAGAGTAGTAGAGGTATTAGAAGGAACATTTTAGCTCAAAGGCAGCAAGCTTGTTTTATTTGTGAATGAATGGTATATACAGTTGAACAGACTTAATAGTGCACAGTGTGTAGCCATTTAATAGTATAAATACAACAGGATCCAAGTTTTTAACAGAAAATAGGAAAACCCTACAACTTTGCAGTTCTTTCAAGACCTGTTGATCAAACTAAAGGGCAAGAAGGAAATGCACAAGCAGTGGAAGCAGGGACAGGTATCCTGGGAAGAGTATAGAGACGTTGTCTGGTTCTGTAAGGATGGGGTCAGGAAGGCCAAGGCGCAGGTGGAGCTGAACTTGGCAAGGGACACAAAGAGGAATAAGAAGGGCTTCCACAGGTATGTCAGCCGGAAAAGGAAGGTCAACAAAAGTGCACTCTGCCAACAAACACGACTGGCAAACTGGTAACAATGGACAAGGAGAAAGCTGAGATACTCAACTACTTCTTTGCCTCAGTCTCCACTGGCAATCCCTCTTCCTGCACCTCTCATGTGGATGGACTTCAGCGCAGGGACTGGGGGAGCAAAGTTGGGTCTGAGACCACTTGAGGAACTTGAACTTACATAAGTCTATGGGATGTGATGAAATGCATCCCAGAATCCTGATGGAATTGGCTGATGTAGTTGCCAGGCCAGTCTCCATGATATTTGAAAAGTCATAGCAGTCAGGTGAAGCCCCCAGAGACTGGAAAAAGGGAAGCATTGCGCCCATTTTTAAAAATGGTAGAAAGGAGGGCCCTAGGAACTACCAACCTGTCAGCCTCACCTCTGTGCCTGGGACGATCAAGGAACAGATCCTCCTAGAAGCTATGTTAAGACACATGGAGGACAGGGAGGCGATGTGAGGCAGATGGTATGGCTTCACCAAGAGCAAGTCTTGCCTTACCAACCTAGTGGCCTTCTGTGATGGAGCGACTACATCAGTGAAGAAGGGAAGAGCTACAGGTGTCATCTATCTGGATTTCTGTAAGGCCTCTGACACACTCCCCCACAACATTCTTCTCTCTAAATTGGAGAGAGATTGATTTGACAGATAGACTGGTTGGTGGATAAGGAATTGGCTGAATGGTCACATCAAGAGAGTAGTAGTCAATGGCTCAACATCCAGATGGAGATCCGTGATGAGTGGGTGTCCCTTAGGGGTCTGTACCAGGACCAGTACTGTTTAATATCTTAATCAGTGCCATAGACAGCGGGATTCAGTGCACCCTCAGCAACTTTGCAGATGACGCAGAGCTTGAGGGATGGGATGCCAGATGGACCTGGATAAGCC